CTCCCTCCCTCCCTCCCTCTTCCAAACCTTGAGCTGTACAAGGTCTATCCACCCCTGAACCATCTCATTACAGTTTGGTGCCCAAGGCTTTATGCTGTTTGTTTAATAGTCAACAAGATTAATTGTTAGATTTGAGGGCTACTAGGGGCTAACTTTCATTTTTTATTAAAAACAGCAGCGATGACCACGATTAAAAATAATAATAATAATAAAAAACCAGAGTCAGCAGCAGCTACTAGAAATGGGCAAGGAATTACAAACATCCAAATGCTACAGTGACATCAAGTGGTGAAACACCACCCTCCAAGCTGCAGTTTCAAAGCTAAATTTCTGGCACTTTTCACATCTCGTGGTCCATTGCAGTTGAAGTTTTAGAATCTATTTTACATATCAATATATTACTTTTTCTACAGAAACCAATAATAAAATTCTCCCCCCGCCACCACTCATGAGATTAAATCAATTCTAGTGAAAGGAGAAAAAAAGTTTAACACTTTCTTCTGCACAGTAGGTCCCATTGTTTCTGCTTGTCTTGTGTGTCTGACAGAGGTGACACAATTCAATCAGAGTAAATTTCTCTTTAAAGTAACAGTTTGAGAAGCTTCTCCTTCTATTTATTCATCAAACAATCTTGGAGTACGCATCCTCTTGAGAGAGAGAATAACAAAATTTCTTTGTAATTTGCATTCAGATCTTCGTTACATTCATTTCAAGAGCTTTTCTTCACTGAACTGTCCCCCCATGTCTCCAAATGACCAATTTTTATTAATATTATAATATAAAAGAGTTTTCTACCTGGGTAATGCTTAATGCTTCTTCCTTATTTTATTTCAGCCACCACTTCACAGAGATAACATTTTTTATCTCATTTAGAAGTGCTACCAATATAAAATCTTTACTAAAAAATAATGGTATTAAAAACTATTTGCTTGGTACTGTTATTAGATAAACACCATTTAAATGTTTGATACTACTGTTTTTCCAAATATTAGTACCTCCAAAGCTGTTTACTTATATTTATGGCATAATCTATATTTTAGTTTGCATTGTAGTAAATGTATGGCTTAATTTAAAAAAAAATCTTTCTTACGGGACTTAAAATGGATTTATAACAAGAACTGAGCCGCAAATTTTTACTCTTAAAAGTACAATTAAAATACACAATGACATTTCTCACATGCTAATGCAGAAAAGCAATTAAGACTGATTAATTTAGTGGTGAGAGGAGTTAAACACATACTTTAAAAGCCTAGCTGTTAACCTAATAAAACCAATGTATTACTTACTGATTGTAAATATACTGGTATATTAATCCATTTAAAAAAGCAGAGAATTATGAATGAATTGTCTTGGTTTTATTACCGTGTTAGGAGCATGTAAACTGTGAGCCCATTGGCACAGGATTTCCGCACCAAAGTCTCTGATTTATTAAATTGTGTCCTGGTAGGATTTTGTAATTTACATGCAGATAATGGTATGAAGCCTTTTATTTTTTCTCTTGATGTGGAAGGTTATTCAGGGTAAAAATGGAGGATCAAATGTTTTCGATGCCAGAGGAATTTTCCTCTAAGAAATGTCTAGCCATCCACAGAGACTGCAGAGAAAAAAATATTTAAAAGTCCTCTGCCCTTGTCTTTGTTTTTCACTTTTAATATGAAAACTGAGTAGGGGAAAAGAGGAATGGCAGAAAAATAATACTTTCAATGTAAGTAATTATTAATCTTCCCTTCCCTTGCCTGGGGAGCAATCCCATATTTCTTGTTGAGGGTAATAAGCTGTCAGGCAGCAAGACAAAGGCTTGAGATCAGGCTTACAAGGCTTACCTAACAAATACACAAGGTCTAGAAAGAATCATTTTAGCACCCTGAATTATTGATGGAAGTCAAAGCAGTGGGAGGATTTATCTTCCTTTTTTATTTTTTTCCCTTTTCTGTTTTATTTCTTTGGCTTTAGTGCCTGTCCATGACAGGTGATGCAGTTAGAAGAGAGGGAGTGAGAAAGAAAAGGAGAGCCTTCAAAATAATGCACTTTTAAACTATTGAGATTGTAAAGCTGAAAATGTGGAAGTAGGAAAATATCTCACTTGTCAGGGGAAGAAGACTTTTCATGGATTGCATGAATTCACATGAACAACACTCAGATCAACATTCAACAATCTTTAAGATAAGATAAGAAACTCAATAAAATGATTTTTTTTTTTTTGGTAGAGAGTAGCAAATTAACAATACAGAGATTCAGAATTGTGTGTTTCTTCAAATGGCAAATCATTTATTTATAAAGGTCCAGGTTTTGTAGCTGGTTTTGAAGGGCTGCATAGAAACTTCCAAAGAGAAAAATGTCACTGCTTTCATTTTGGGGGGAAGGAAAAAGCAATTCTGCTTACCTATGCTCCTGAAGATCCCATCAGAAAGCAGATGTGTCCCAATCCACAAGTAGAAATGCAAAATATTTTTTTTTCAGGCTAGCTATATAGCTGCACTTCCTTAGCTAAAGTGGAGAAAAAAGTGTCTGTGTCGGGTCTTGTCACTGCTTTTGCTGCATGACTGAATGTGAGTGTAACCATTTCTTATTAAATGGAATAAGGCTGACTTGCAAATGGGGAAAAAAGAGATCTGAACTAATTTAGGCTGTGAGACCAATTTCAGAAGCTCTGTTTGAGTCATGCTGTTGCACATATAAGTAGCAGATGTGAAATTATTTCCAGACACAGAATTGTGGTTGCTCACTTGGTGAGGAGTCCAATTCCTGTAAAGTGCATCTGAATTCCAGGAGCTTGAGTTAATCTGGAACATCTGTTGCCTATGTATAAAAGACATGAAAGGAATTCTTACCAAAAGTTGAAAATACATGCATAGATACTTGTGTGTATGTAAACATAAAAATACGCATGGGCACATTGCCTCACCAAGTCCCACAGAAAACTTGCCATTCAAGAAGTAATTAATTGTCTGGTTTGGAAATTAATAATTTTCCAGTGCAGAGAATATTCCAGAGTAGATTGAAGTTCCACTGTTCTTTGAGCAGTTTTGGTTAAATACAGCATTAAAACCTCCAGATATTAAGAAAAATCCATTAGCAGTCTCTCCTGAGGATACACACTCTGTTTACATTTCTATCCATGTTTGTAGACATGTAGGAAAAAAGTCACTGATTAGTTGGTTAAATAATGACATTTTTATTCCTCACTTAAGGAACTTTTTTAAAGCTTGCTTTGATTATTCATTAAGTCTGGTTTTGATATTTTGCTTGGGAAAGATCAAATGAACCAAAATAAAATTGTAAAATTATGGGTTATTTTTCCTATGAGATAAAGTGTGGTGTTCAGTATCCCAGATATTATCATTAAATTAAGACATTTTGCTTTAAAATTCTAGAAAGAAGACTTATAATCATAGAGGACAGTGCAGATATTAAATTTTATACTGAAGCCCCTATCTAGGTAACTAAAATCTCTATTTCACAGTTTCAAGCATTAACTTCAGAGTAATTTAACACATTACCATGGAGCATTCATGTCATAGGGAGGACATAAACCCAAAACAGAACCTTTGAATTTTATTAATGACCACTACCTGAGCTACACAGACCTCCAACACCTTGAGAAATAAACAGCTCCTCTTGACAAAGGGCAGGTGCTGTATTTTGTGAGCCCAGTGTGGAAATCCCTGGTTACTTCTGAAACAACTTTTTGCCTATATTGTCAGAAATTCCATGACAACACAACTCAGAAGCAACACTTGTAAGATCAAATAAAACACCAGAAACTTCCCAATGTTTGCCAGAGGGTGATATCAGGCTGCTGCAAGCAGCAGTGAGTGGCAGCGGGATGGGAGCACTGAACAGTTGAAAGAAAAACCAAAATCTGGCAGAAGATTTGGACATGGGAAGCCCTTATGATTATAGTCCAGTCTTTTCAGAGGTAGTGGACAAACCTGACGGATTGATGTGTGGAGGAGACCACGACCCTTCTCTGAAATGGGTGCAAAAAACAGAAATGATGTGCACAGCTTGCAAAAATCACTGCCCTAAGGTGGTGTCATGTCAAGTCATTCACTAAATTAAGGAGCACCACAAAAAAGTCCAGGATGAGAGAGTGGTGACTGCCATGCCAGGGCCAGCTACCAAGTTGTCTGGGTGGTTTAGTGGTGAATCCATTGGTGAATGCAGAGTTCAGAGCAGCCCTTTTGTAAGTTCCAGATACCCAGGCAGGTTTAGGTGCAGCAGCTTTGCATCCATGTGAAGGTATAAGATTTCAGTGAGCCTTAACAACCCTCAGAAGCAAGCAGAGGTTCAGTAAAGGCACCTAATTCAGTGGAAGAAAGGACTATTTGTATCAGCCTTACAGCTTTAATGAGTTTTTTTTTTTTTTTTAATCAGACAACTTGGGCTGTTTCTGCATCAAATTAATCTGTACAGTTATTGCATGGAAGGAGTTACCCACAAAGCAGATTCTCATTAACACTTTTGATGAAAGCCTAAATTCTGATGAATACCTAAATTTTGATGTACACCTAAATTAACACCTTGTCTGGGACACCTTAGGCACATGCTGAGAAGAATTTTGTGCAAAGATAGGAAAAGGTGAGCTTTGCCTGGAGAAATTTCCATCAAACATCAAAAATCTGCTGTACAGCCAGTTTGGTAATGTGACAAAAGTGAAAGTGTAAGGTATTTGTTGTCATGGATTTATGTTTTAGACTGAGCAGCAAGCCTGGAAGACACAGTAAAAGGAGACAGAGTACACCTTTGCTAATAAAACTGCTGCTCAAACCCCATTCAGTAAAGAATATCTATTGCTAAAATACTTGTTAGACTGGCCTTTGTAATGTGAAGCAAAGGACCAAACCTTCTGCTTAACAGAAGAGGGCGATAATGTCTCGGCTGAGGAAGAAACATGAGTATCTACCTTTTACAAAATGATGATGATGGCAAGACATCGGTAACAATCTTCCAGAAAAATAAAAGTGTATAAATAATTTTCTATACTTACAATATTAAAAAATAGAATTTAAAACCATAATTTACTCCAAAATGCACATATCTGGAATCATTTATGGTGTAGTTAAGAAAGGCATAGGTTTTTTCCTTTTACTAGAGAAAACACATCTTGCAAAAGTGATGTGAAAATTAATGCTGTGTCACATCCTTCTATTTGAATCCATATTTTGGTGCAAATAATGTTTCTCCAAGGATGTTGTTACTTCCCTTCTGCCTGTGTGTGTGACATTCCAGTTCCAGAGAGGAAAACAAAATATGATTCAGCTGGAAACATTAAGGAGAAAATATATCCAGATAGATCCAAGAGGGATATTAGAGAAGCCCTGCCACAAGGACCCCCTTGTAATCCTTTCCAGAGAGGAGCCTGGGGGTGGCTGGATCCAAACTCAGCCCCAGACTTTGCCAGCAGGTTGAGGAATTTTGTCCTGCAGGATTTAGAGATGGCAAATAAGATGTATTTACATAAAATGAATGATTTATCATGACAAAGTGATTGGACTAAAAATTTTAATTGGAATTGTTAACTATGCAGTATATAAGCTAAAATTGCTAGCAGTGTGTTGTGTTGTATAGTGCACCAGGTCAAAGCAATTATATTAAAGCCATCATATTAAAGGTGTCAAAAATAAACAGATGTTAAGTAGAGATTGATGTAACTTATCAGATGAACACTTGTGGGGAAGTCTCTTTCTCTTGACCCCAAGGAGGATCCTTGGACTAGTGTCCCCTTCCCAAGGGAAGGAACTCCTCACACACACTCCATGGAGGAAAATGTCTGATGAATGAAAGTGAGCTTGGATTTTACAGTGTAAAGTGATATAACTGCAAGTCACATGTCTCACAGCCAGCTTGGACCCTCATCTACCAAATCTTTGCCTCACTATCCAGGTGTTCATTCAGGGCTGGTGAGCCCGAGTGGTTTTTGTCACAACTCAACACCAAAAGCAGCACACAATGCCCACCACTGACTGCTTGCAAAACAGGGTGTTGTTTGAGTTGTTTGTCCACATTTCAAGGGTGAGGAGCCCTGCTGTGCTGGCACAGAGCCACACAGCCCTGGAGGCTGCAGCTCCACGCCAGATGCAGCCAGAGCCCGTGGATGGGGACACACTCAGAGCTGCCGGTGACAGGGGAAGGACTCAGGTGAGCAGGACTCAGCTGGCTGGATGCAGGACATGGCTCACAGGTGTGCCCACCAGCCAACAGCTTCCAGCTCTTTTTGCCCCCTTACCCCTCCTTTTGCTCACTCTTTGTACTCCCTGGGTCATCTCCACCCTTGACTGCTGCTGGTGGATTTCATGCTGGGCTGGGGCTGTCCTGGGAAGGTCCTGGCAGGGCCACAACAAGGTGGGTCAGTCCCACCTGACTGGTTTGAGTTCCTGCCTGCCATTCTGCCCCTGGGTTCCTGAGGGATGTCCTGTGGGCCTTTCACTGGCTGGTGGTGGCCCTGGGATGACACTGGGAGTAGCTGGGACATTTTGGGTTGCCCTTCTGCCCTCCTTGGGTTGTGTCACAGCAGAAGGTTTTGCAAACAGTGGGAGGCCACCCTTAGGTTGCAAGATCGACCTGCTGTCACCATTTCAAAGAGGTCCTGGCATGCCTTTCCCCCTCACACCTCCTTTCTCTGGCTTTTTGGGCACCCTTGTCCAAAATCCACAGATAATTTTAAAAGACCAAGAGAGATCAGCATGGAAAGAACAAGAGAGCTCGTGAGAATAAAGTCTTTCACATTTATGGAGAACATCCATAGTTAGTGAAAGAAGCCAGCCTGACCACAGCTCCTGCTGATGGCATATTGGTGCTGGCACAACCCTTTCCATGTAGAATTAGATTGTCTTGAAAGCAATCAGCTGTCTTTACATTGTGAGAAGATGCAATTTATAAATAACTTGTTACCAAAAAATATAAAGTCTCTGTTAAGAGTGAAATCCCGACACTCAACCAGTTAATCTGCAATGATAATTCAGATTTTGGCAGGACTCCACCCTTACCAGCAAGCCTGCTAAAGCTGCATGACAACCAGCATGTGACAGGGGGCCTCAAAAAGGACTTCTATGTGCAAATTCAATATATTTAAGGTTCCTCTCACATATTTCAGTATATATTTAAATACATGCCTGCCTTTCAGCTGTGACTCACTCCCACACAGTGAGTATTTTCAAATGTGACAATAATCAAACAAAAAAACAAAACAAAAAAAACCCCAAACAAACAAACAAACAAGCAAAAACAAACAAACAAACAAACAAAAACCCCAAAACTATGCTCCTCTTCAGTTCAGGGTTTCAAGTGAAGCACATTTATAAAAGTGAAAATAAATAGTTCTCTGAACTCCAGCTTCAGACCCTCTATTTTCCTTTGATAATGAATTATTCTAGACTCAGTCATAAAAAAAATATTGTTTTTTTCCTCCCTTCTGGAGTTATAACACATCTGAACTTGTGTTTCAAAAACTCAGTATTAGCTTCACAGGCTTCTTAGGAAAAAATATGTAGAGGAAATATTTATTCTGCTCTTCTGATCATCCTGGTTTTCATAGCCACTTTATCAGGTTTGAACAGCACGAACAAGTGATAATAAAGGTTA